GGCAAGAAAAGCAAACCCAAGAGGGAAGAAAGGGTGTGACAAGAAGAGGACTGGAGGGAGGGGATCAACCCAAAATGGAACCAACAGTGAGGGGCTTAGCCCACCACCCTCCTGCACTCATTTCTTGTTCTTCAGCTGGTTGGCCAGCCAATCTAAGCCCTCGTAGAGGCCATCTCCGCTGGTGGCGCAGGTGGCCTGGATGTACCAGTTACGATGGCGCAGTGAATGCAGGCCCAGCTTGTCTGTGATTTCTGCCGCATTCATGGCGTTGGGAAGGTCCTGGGGAAGGAGGCAGAAATGCAAGAGATGAGAAGCCAAATATGAACAACGTTCCCCCAAGGCTGTCAGAACAAAAACCCAAAAACAAAAGGGGTGCTCAGAAAGTGACCCCTGGAATTGATTAGGAACTAATGCCTTTTGAATCCACCCTTCTTCTGCTTGGGGGCCCCTGAACCAGTCCCTTGCAGGGAGCTGGTAAGACTCCTGCTTCTGTACCAGTGACAAGTCTGCTGAAGGAAACCCCCTTTGGCCTGCAGACCTTGTCTACCTGCTCCTCTCAGCAAGATTCTCTTTCCTGTTTGACTCTTAGCTTTGCTGCTCTGTCTTCCAAAGTCATCCGATTCTGTAAACTGAGAAGTCCATCCATGGCCTCCAGGTCTCTACCAAGCCCAATTCCCAGAAATGGAAGCATGTAATTTTGAGGTACGAAACTCATCAATGTAGAGATGTCAGCCTTAAAATAGCTTTCATAAGAAAGCTCTTGGAACTGCCTCCTGCCCCACACAAAGGCCTGAAATCCCCAGCCCATCTTGCTCTGTAGCATCACTGGAATCCTTGTCCCCTCCCTCTGTTATTTAGGAAGAATTTTATATAAAAAATCCAATTGCAGGCATGCAGGAAGTTTGCACACTTAATGTATTGTGCTACTCTTAGTTATGTGAACAGACCACAGTTAAAACCTTTACCTGTGAATTGCCAGCTCAAGCTCTAACCTTCTTACACATGCATCCAGTTGCTTTACCCCAAGAATTTACTCCCAAGTAAATACTCTATGCAAAGGGATTTCGTGTTGTAATAGAATAGAAGCTACATAAACTTTTACTGTGCACTGTAATCATGTGTCAGTGTTCTTTCCCAAGGCCACCATTTGAAGGTGAAGGAGGCAATGACCGGCGTAGGGTCGGAAGAGACAAATCTTCTCTCCCCAGCTCATCACACTTATAAAGAAGCTTTTAATGATATACTTAAAAATACAACGTTAAATTGTATCAACATGTTCCTGTTCATTCTACTCATATGTGCAATCTTGAAAACTGGCTGAGGAACAGTGCAGAAATATTTCAAACAATATTATTTTGTATAACTTATACTGCTTCTGCTAATGACGGGGCATTAGAGCCTGAATTTAAATCTTATTTAGCATCTCTTTTAATTTCCAAGGAATAGCAAGAATAAAGCATCCACTCTAAAGCACATTTTTCCAATGGAAAGGGATGGAAACCAGCGTTGAACAGACACTAGACTCCTTTGGAAACTGAATTTAACACCCAATCCCAGAGTTGGTGGCTTTGGGACAGTCCCACAATCACAGCACAGTCCTATGTTATCCACACAGCTGCCAATGAGCGGGATTTATTTTTCCTCAATTTTCAACTCCTCACTTGCACAGCAGTAGTGTCATGACCATTTGTTTTTAAGAATCACAAAGAAGGGTGAGTCAAAGCAAGGTAGTTACAACTTCTCTTCACAGAAATAGCAACATGGATGGAAGAAGCAAATGTATCTGCCCACAATCGACACAATTATTATCAGCTCTTTCCTTGCCATGGAAAAGAATTATTTGCACACATCTCCCATGCCGTTTGATGTGTAAGCTATAAGCACGCCTGCATGCTAATGAGCTACAAACTGTAGTAAGGGAAAAACTTTACAACCTAAGATAGCACGTATAAAAGAACAATTTTTAAAGGAGGAAATTAAAGTGGCCCTGGGCTGGAAACGAGAGGACTCTTGATATTTCATGTCTGTTATAAGCACATGGGTTAATTGACTAAGTCAACAACTTAGAACAGGGCAAGCATTACTTCCTGTCGTCCTATCAGTTACTGGGGGAGAGGCTCTACGCAATATAGCAGCAACCGCAGGGAAAAGAAAGAGTTGAGTCTGCTTTTCAATACGCATAACATGATGTACTTTACCAAGGAACAGCTGCATGTGCCAATGTTAAATAGACTAATATGAATGCCTCTTAATTAACTGCACCCTACACAAAAACGTTATTGTGTGTATTATTAACTAAAAGCATTTCTGAGCTGAACAATTCTGGGTTCAAATTTGAGATTGTACAGTATCAGCTGAACACATGCAAGGGTTTCATTTGGGAACTCATGAGAGGACACTGCACCAGACTGTAGGAAACAAACATCCTTTCTTTGTTAAGTTTCTTAGGTAACTCTGTACCAAGCGAACTGAGAAAAGACACCATTTAAGGTCCACCTAATTTGTTCTTGGGGAAGAGATGCTGTGGTGATACAGTACTCTATTTATAATGAATGGTTAAGGTGCTTCACAGCTAGGACAGCTAATAGTGACTCTCTTCATAATGTATGAAGAAAAAGTATGACTGGGAAGAGGGGGATGAAAGGAAATGGTGGGAATGTCAGCCCTTCAAGGTTGTCTAGATCAGGAAACAGAGATTGGCTACATTAACAGAACCTTGGATGTCTGGTTGTGTTTTTCCTCCCCTCCCTCTTGTACCTCAGGGAGTCAGGGGAGAGTCTGCCTGAACCTCTTCCTAATAGTACACCTCCCCCAGGGCTCAAGGTATGCTTCTGTCCTTTTGGTTTCTGTAATGCCTTTTGAGTATTTCCCTCAAGGCATCTCCATGGCTCTCAACAGAGAAAAAGGTAGATGGACAAGTGTGAATATATGTGAAGAATCAAATAGAGAACAAGTAATTAAAGCTAGGGGGGACGCGGTGGCGCAGCGGCTTAATGACGCTGAAAGTTGCTGGCCAGAAATGG